AAAGAAGTGGATGGGAGGGTTCGTCTCAAAAAAACAAAACCCAGATTATCGCAGACGATCTTTAGGGATCGGGCTGGGGGATGAGAGATATCAGCTAAGATAAGATAGTCCTTCAGGGCAATTATACTAGCTGGGAAGTACACGTCATAACAATTTACAAATAATATCCGGTCCTGTCAACCTTTCGCGATCGAGGTGGTCATACCACCTATATATTTTGAGACATTTAATACGATGCGTTTCTATGGTTATCAGGTATCATGCTCTTTTACATATCTCAACATAAACTATATGAAAGAAAGACACGTGTAAGATGTTAATCAATAGATGAGACATAGTAGTCAACACATGAAAAGCACAAAATATCTTTGAGATGACCCCTTAATGCTTGTGCCTGTAGGCGTAGCGTGCATTTCATGCCAGGTGAGTTCGACGGTCCGTCGTCATACCTGGCTGAGCGACCTTTAATTGCCATCTATAGTCTGATCTATTGTTTTCAGCAGCTATTCGTATTTTATCTAAGTTTTCCCGATTTTACGAGTAAACATGCTTTTCTGGATATCTTATTACGCATCCCACTGAATGCCAAGTTAGGCCGTAGTTGGTTATTTCGACATATACTATTTTGCAGTTGTGGGATTTTAGGGATACAGAGTAACAGCCTAAAAACAGTTTTTTCTATTTCCGACTGTACTTTAGTACAACTAACGCCACCACCACCTCCACCACCACCACTACTTCTACGGCGGTTGGGTAGGATAGTGGTTAAAGCGTTCGCTCGTCACGGCGAAGACCTGGGTTCGATTCCCCACATCGGTACAATTTGTGAAACCAATTTCTGGTATCCCCCGCAGTGATATTGCTGGAATATTGCGTCGTAAAACTAAATTCACTCACTCACTTCCAGTTGTGTGACACGTGTGATGTACAGCGTGTTTATCCATTAATCCCAGGGGCGTAGGGACAGGAGGGGCTTGGGGGGCCTTTTTCAAGACGAAACCATATCTACCTTGCCATAACTACAATTTCATTTTGATTTTCAATACTTTTCATAAATTACCTCTACCCCCACCCCCACCCGTACCCACCCCTGCTCCTGAAAACCGGTCCTATGCCCCTGTAATCTATCTGTTTGTTTATTAATCCATCTGCTGACCACGTACCTGCATATTCATTTCCCTTTGGAGAAATCGTAATATCCACGTTCAGGGCCAAATGCAATTTCCTACAAGCCCATATCGAACAGACAATGAACCTCACAACGTGTAGTATATTGATCTATATCTTACAAGCAGCGTTGTTCTACTAAACACAGCAGGGGGCTTATTGTAATGTTGAGAAGCTTCCTTACCGAGGATTGTCTAATAACAATCCAGCTGGTACGACGTCAAGATCAAGGATTTTTGACAAGCTGACACGGAGGTACTCGAGGAAAGTCTTAAATATACATCTGCGGCAAAGATCAAATTTAGTGATCCTTTACTTGAAACAAGATCACAAGATCGGGTTTTTTTAAATTAAAGAAATCATCAGACACACTGAGAGACTACATACATCGCTTGTAGCCTATAAGGTAAGAATATCACATCTACATCTCCGCATCTTGTAGATGTGAATCTGCATTTTTTTTCATCTATCTCGGAGACTTGAGACGGTGGGGTAGCCTAGTGGTTAAAGCGTTCGCTCGTCACGCCGAAGACCCGGGTTCCATTCTCCACATGGGCACAATGTGTGAAGCCAGTTTTTGGTGTCTCCTCCGTGATATTGCTAGAATATTGCTAAAAGCGATGTAAAACTAAACTCACTCACTCAAGTATTATGTGGAATGTACACTGTCTGTCAAAGCGTAGTATACACCTGTGTTTGATTGTGGCAAAATGAAGAGGACAAAAAATGATTATTCAACGATGGGTTGTGTTTTGGACTTGTATTTCGGCGGATGTATTCAGCCTGGTGACGTTTTGTATAACGCTTGTAACGTTTTGTTCCAAACCATGTACGTATTATGGTCCAGTCATGTGTATTATCTTTTGCACATTAGTGTACTTCATTTGATGAAGGTTATGGATCCAAATACTGTATCTGAGATATTTATTTATTTACCTATTAATTTAATTTGTTTATTTAATCATGTATTTGTTCGTATGTGTGTGTGTGTGTGTGTGTGTGTGTGTGTGTGTGTGTGTGTGTGTGTTGTTTGTCTGAAATTTGTACCAGTAAAGAGTGGCCTCCCTTGGTTGTATCCACCAACCACGTTTCTATGATCGTGTGTTCGAATTCTGTGATACCAGTCCTGGTTTGTCTGCACCATGCCTTTGCTCGGTTGTTTAAAAAATGTCGTAAACTGTGTTATTTACTCATCAACTTCTAGGATGTCGACAACAAAAAAAACCTCACAAACTTAGGTATTTTCTCCAATATAGACTTCACATATATGTGCAGGCTAAATATAGGTCGATATTCTCTAATCTTCATAGTCCGTTTTAGTTATATTCCAGCAATGTACATCTTTATTGGGGACACCTGAAACGGAATATGGGGGATCGATCCCAGACCTTCGATGTTGCTTGTGCTAATAGTCATCTGTGTTCCCCTAAACGATTTCAGATGTCCAGAAAGTATTGTACTACATGTAATTCTTAACTCAAAGTTAAGTGCTATTGACTTTTTAATCTTTATACTGACAATAAGTTAGCTGCTTTGATGAAAGCTTCGTGGCCAAGAACGCTACTGCGTACTGAGTGGCCTTGTGCTTGATGTAAATATGTTTATGAGCTTCTGTTGTAGTGACTGTGGAGCTGTCAATATTTTGATACATCTGATTGTTCAACAAGTGTTTAGTTCTAGGCCTGTCACAGAACAATACGTCAAAGCCAACTGTCAGCAAAATTCATACAATTCTTACATTGATTAGGATGTAAATTCCAGCTCTGTCCATTCAAGGCTTATAAACCTGCTAATCTATGTATCGACAAACTGGACATTGCATTGTTTAGGTGGTGGGTGATATGTGAGAGTGAGCGGCTTTACGTCGCTTATAGTAACATTTCAACACTATTACGGAGGGGATCACCATCAAAGAGCAACACTCTGCGTACCCAGGTTCTGGATGCAATCCGATCTGTTAACTATGGTTAACCATTATATAAAGACAGTTAAGTTTCTTTAAACAAATGTTATCACGCAACGAAAGTGGTCATTATTGAATAATATACTTTCAGTTCAGTGCGAGAGAGAGAGAGAGAGACAGAAGAGTGAAGAGAGAGAGTAAGAGAGAGAGAGAGTAGATGAGTAAGAGAGGGGAATAAAGAGAAAAGTGAGAGAGAAATAGAGAGAGAATAAGAGATAGAGAAAGTACGAGCGAGTAAGAGGGAATGAAGAATAAGACTGACTGAGCTTTACGCCGCTTTTAGCAATATTCCCAGCAAATATCACGGCGGGAACACCAGAAATGGGTTTCACACATTGAACCCATGTTGGGATTCGAACAGGTCTGCAGTCGTGACGAGCCAACGCTTTTAACCACTGAGCTACCCCACCAATTCCCAGAGAGAGTAGATGAGAGAGAGAGTAAGATAGAGAGGAAAGTACGAGGAGAGAGAGAGAGAGAGAGTGACAACCAACTTCCTTCTCTCTGTGTACATTCATATACCTCTGTACACAAATAATACAGTGTTACATCTCACCGTAAGTAAACCTCTAAATAATACGACCTTTCTAGACCGCATCAAATCCTATACAATCCAGCCGCCGACAATATGGGATCCATACAATATGCCTGCCGACAATATCCATTTTGCACACTGCTGCTGGCGGGCAAGGGCGTGTTACGACAACAGTGCACTGCCTTTCTAAGGCTTGTACGTTAATAATAGCGGCTGGGTTGTAACATTGCGCTCATATGATGTTAGGATGACTGTCAGCGACCATCACAAGATATATCTGTGACATTGGAATACTGGTGACTGAGGGCATATTCCATTATGCACAACGAATTGTAAAAGTGCGTTAGAGCTGTGAAATTGGACGTTGCAACAAGGTGAAACTGATGATTTTTTTGTATGACCAGGTGTTTTTTTAAAAACATTTTCTTTTCTTACAGGTATATGCTGTACCATGGCGTTTGATAGCGTAGTCGGCATTACGTGTATTCTAAGCATGTACGATGGTGAATTATTATAGTACATACATGTATTTAAAAGAGGTTGGATATCGTGAGTAAATGAATTACTGAGTGAATGTTATGTAACGCCGCAGCATGAGGTGAGGTGAGGTGAAATTGGGTTTAACGTCGTGCTTGAGAATATTTCGCTCATATGACGACGTGCATGCGTGTGTATGTGTATGTGCGGCTGCTTGTACTAGCCCAGACTTAAGCTGGTTTTATAGTGCTAGCTCACTGAGATACCATGCCGCAGTGAAGCATGAATACCCCACTCAGACACATTATACTGACTCCGAGCCGACCAGTCCTTGTTGTACCCATTAATGCCGAGCGCCAGGCAGGGACCAACAAGTACCATATTTTAACGTCTTTTGGCATGACGCGGTCGGGGATCGAACCCGCGACCTTCCGTTCTCCGGGCGGACGCTCTAACCACTGCACCACGGAGGCGGTCGAATAACGAAAGAGGTTGAATATCGTGAGTAAATGAATTATTGATTGAATGTTATGTAACGCCGCAGCATGAACTAACGGCCCACCTTGTGATGACGTGCCATCAGCCAGATCCCTATCGCAGGTATCCTGGGATATTCTTTGAGGACCATTATTCCTCAAAATCAAGAGTATTCCCAAATTACATCTTAGACTACCCATGAAGATACGGGTTAGAATTTGTCTTCACCAACCCATGCTTGTCGTAAGAGGTGCGACTAACGGGATCGGGTGGTCACTTTGTATCCAGGATGGATGGATGGACGGACGGACGGATGGATGGAAGTGTAAATGCATCTTTTTTTATACCGTTTTATAAAAAAAATTCATTTCACAGAATGTGGACTATGGGCACTTGGTCTGGGTTACTTCCCCTGGTTGTGACGTCAGCGTTGTTTGTGACAGTAGACGGCGCCACTAACTGGGGGGATCTGAGCCTCCCCTTGGAACATGTGCCCTACTTCTTCAGGAACAATCCTTACATGAAACAGCGTTGTAGGGATGAGGATAGCTGCCCTTATAAGGTGAGACACAAACAGCTTGGAGATTAAACCGTTGTGACGCCAAATGGAGTGAGAGTGAATTTTACGCCGCTGTTAGCAATATTCCAGCAACATCACGGCGTTGGACGCAGAGGGCTTCACACATTGTACCCATGCGGGGAATCGAACCGGGTCTTCGGCGAGACGAGCGAACGCTTTAACCACTAGGCTATCCTACCGCCCTGTGACGCCAAATGAAACAGTTAGGGTTTCCTGGGTTCGATTCCCCGCATGAGTACAATGTGTACATGAGACAATTTTCTGGCCCATTGTCCCCGCCATTGATATTGTTGGAATATTGCTTAAAAGCAGCGAAAAACCATATTCACTCACTGTGACGCAAAAGTGTCTGTTCGATTCACAATTCTCTGCCGTAATATGAATGTAATATCAAAAGATGAAACTCGGATGCAACGTTTGGCGAAATTGGTTGCATCTGGCTGAATAAAACCATTAGCAGAAAGAGCAAAACATGTTAAACATGTCCTAGCCAGATGGTGTTCCGCGCGAAAATATATTTTAATTTCTGTCAAGAAGGCTTAATGTCTTCAGTAGTCAAATTTCCCTGTCATGTCGAGCATTATTGCAGCAGCTCCATGCTTGGGTGTTTACATTTCACAACTTTTGAGGTAATTAATTGAACATGCTCGTTTTACCAGGATTCCAATGAGCGTCTTACTATTCTTGCTCCAGAAGTTTTGATCAAGGCTTCTGTAAAGCTTTCCAAAACCTTAATGGTAGTAGGTTCCGTATTTTGCCTTGATACCATCCATTCCCGAGAGTTTTTCAGGTAAACAATTGACTTGCCTTTACACGTGTTTATGACGGATGCCACCGGTGGGCAGGTCACCTTTCGCGCACACCTGGCATAATCACTTCTTTTATATATACACAAAGAACTTAATTAAGCACGCCCTGTATATTTTGCAATGATAGGTTTTCAACACGTACATAACACTTCTCGTGGTGACCACGATGGAACAACATCAGTTTTATGACCCGTATGATTCTTTGACTCATAAAAACGACAAAATGATTGGAATCCCTGTTGATTTTATGATGATAATTGCTCATATCTTTAAAAGCACTGATTTTCATACAAAATCATGTCTGTACAAGTATGGCCCAAGAATGTTCAACGTTGCATTTATTATATTGTGAATGTGAACATTCAAAATATCATTGCGTGTCTTACACGATTCAAGGTCAATACCGAGTGTAACCTCCCATGTGACTGTATGGCAGCCAGCACTCTCCTACTCATACCCCTGTCAGCCTCCTGATCCTCTTGAGACCCGTGAAGATCCGGGTTAGAATTGATCTTCAGTAACCCATGCTTGTCGTAGAGGGCGACTAACGGGATCAGGTGGTCAGAGCACGCTGACTTGGTTGACTACATGTCATCGGTTCCCAGTTAGACAGATCGATACTCATGCTGTTGATCACTGGACTGTCTGGTCCAGACTCGATTATTTACAGACCGCGGCCATAAAGCTGTAATATTGTTGAGTGCGCTGTAAAACTAAACTCACTCACTCACCTGATCCTCTTGAAGGGACCGTCTACGCCATTCCTCGTGTAAAACAGCTTCCAATTGGGCCAGGTTCTGTACAGGAGGATCCCTTTGTTGCACATAACGACCAATCATGTTCCAGATATGCTCCAAAGGGTTAAGATCTGGGCTCATTCAATCGTGAGATTTGCCAGGGTTCTTTGTGTATAGATTCACAAACACATGATCATGACAATTTAGTCGGAATTAGTCGACTCTGCTTTAGAAGAGATTTCTTATGGATATTGAAGGGTTTGTTTCTTTACTTACAACGTATTGTGTGAATTAACAGTTTACATGCATCGAATATTGCTGAGTGCTGCGTAAAACTAACTCACTCACTCACATGCATCGCTAGTGCTTCAGGTGCATGTATGCCATAAGCTTCACCAGTATCAGTAGGGTACATGTGGTTTGAACGTCTAATATTCGCTTTTATACCACGAGCCAGCAGTCCGATGTCATCTATTGCTCTGTCTGTTTTGACAGTCCTCCTTGGAGATTAGGAGATGCTGGGGATATGAAGACGGGTGCCCAGTCGGAGAGAGGATGAGTACGCCCCTGTGCACCGACGATGAGTCACAGAACCTAAGGTAAACTGAAAGGTATCCACGTTGGAAAATTGTGAAAGATTAATTGGCTTTGTATCACAAGTCAACTACGTGTTATTCGCAAGATCGCTCAATGATATTCGCAGTGCCATTGTTACAAAACCAGTATTGTAGTTATGTTATGGCGTGTTTCATGGGGTGCAAATGCAGTGTACTGTTGTGAGTGAGTGGAGTATGGTTTAACGCCGCTTTTAGCAATATTTCAGCAATATGGCAGGGGACTCCAGAAATGGGCTTCACACATTGTACTCATGTGGGAATCGAACCCGGGTCTTTGGCGTGACGAGCCAACGCTTTAACTTCACCAGGCTACCCCACTGCCCGCACTGTTGTGTATTTGTGTTATGGGTTGCAGGTGCGGTGCAACCCTGATTTTCATGCTATCCATAACACAACACTATAATGGGTCTCTGTGGTGCTTTGGAAACAGGTACACAATGTTGGAGACTTGTTCTCACAATCCAAACGCTTTTCAAAATATTGACGTTGCGTTTTATTTCTTCTCAAATAATCGGAAATGTATGCGTGTATACTTTCTTTTACATGTCAGGCCAAATAAAAAAACATGTTGTGGACCCGATTACCTCTTTAAAATTTAGGGTGGGTAGGTAGGATTTTTTCATTTTTTTTCAAGTAACGTACAAACTAATAACACATTTATCAATGTTTAATTGTTCAGTCAATCAGAAGCCTGCAGCCATCAAGTCGACTTTCTCTATCAGGAATGACCGATGTCCCGTCGGTGCCAGGGGAAAACATTGGTATCTGAAAGCTTTATTTTATTCCTACCGCTTAAAAAAATAGGATCGGCACCTGAATTCAAGGTCGGTCGAAGGGTAATCGGAACTGCAAGCAACATTTTTTTAGGCCTCAGCTTAACACGAATATGTATGATACCGTGAGGACATACATGTTTCCTCATTTGCGGGAATAATTGTGATATTATTCGATACGCTAAAAGATCACACAGGACGCATGGAAGTAAAACGTCCAGAAGATTTTCCGGTATCAAATCTATTTGATACGGTCTTCCAGCCAATAGGATTGCGGCTATGTTTAGAATATGTACATTCAAATGTTTGTTGTCGACAGACGGGGTCAAACCTTCAGTGGTGGAGACGAACACAGACATATTCTGGAAGCAGGCAGATTTTGGCTACGTTAAAGAGAGGAAAAACAACCTGAGGACATATTGCAGACCACAAGCACAGGTTGTTCCTTAATGCCATTCATAACATTGATTGATTTATTGGATTTTACCCGGAATATAATGGGATTCCATACTGGGACCCATGTGAGGAATTGAACCCGACCTCGTCTCGACGAACGAACGCTTTAACCACAAGGCCACCCCACCACTCCTGACCGATCAGAATACATTTATAGATTATAGATATTCATAATGTCATTTTCTGTCTTCATGATTTGATATATATTTCAGCGTCCTGTTTAATTCCAGGACGACGGGAGAGCCATGTGGTTAAGGTGTTCGCTCGTCATGCCGAATTCCGGGTTCGTTCACCACATGGGTACAATGTTCGGAAGCCAATATTTGGTGGTCCCAGCCGTGATATTCCCGCCTTTGCTAAAACGGCTTAAACTCTCACACATGTGTCATTGTTCTGATACTACAAAGCTGTAGCTCGTGGTTTCCGCAAAATTCGCTGTACAATGACAAGAACACATGCTTATGAATCCCTGTCAAATAGTGTTGACACCAGGTGTTGCCGTAAGCGTTAACATACCTATGATCCACCGGTTGTACATGTCACAAACACATGCAAAGGCAGTTCAAATTTTATCTGAAAAATTACGGCGGTTTATGGCAATTACATTAAAATCATGAGTTTTGTGTACGGCAATATTTTGGTCACCGGTAATAATATTTTGTAGGGACATTGGGGTAGACTAGTGGTTAAGGCGTTCGCTCGTCGCATGCCGAAGACCCGGGTTCGATTTCCATTACGGGCATAATGTGTCAAACCCATTTCTGGCGTCCCCGCCGTGCTATTGCTGGAATATTGCTAAAAACGGCGTAAAACTAAATTCACTCACTCACTGATATTTTGTAACTGACCTCTTCATGTCCATTTTGAACGTTACTGATAGTTTTCCTAAAGGCCTTACATTTGTAACCCTGATCAAATACTGTTCGATATACCACGAACTGATGCAACAAAACCCCACAGCGTCTGATACACCACCTTCATACATAACACCTGTGATGACGATTACCTCATACCAGACCAACCAGCCGTCCTGAAACAGTTCGTGGCTCACGTTAATGTAACAAGCATCACGCAACAGGTGTATATAGGAGGCTGGATATTAACTCATTCTGTCAGTTCATGAATGACATCAAAACGATGTCGGTGTTATCTAACAGCATCAACGACGACGATAATGACGATAAAAATATGTATGATTATAACGCGTCAGATCCACATCCTAAGGCATACTGAGAGCCCTACGTTATTGAGTGAATAAGCGAGTGAGTGTGTAATTGTCCCAAGCTCATATGCAATTCCTTATTGTGTAATAGTGATTTTTTAGTGCATTTTACATAAATACACTGTCCATATGGAACTGAGTGTGTGCCTTTTGAGTGAGTGAGTTTAGTTTTACGCCGCACTCAGCAATATGGCGGCGGTCTGTAAATAATCGAGTCTGGACCGTATGAATTAATATGTGATGGAAATGTCTCTTCTTCATAAAGCAGTATATACTATTATAAATCTGAAACACTCATTCCGTGAGTTAAGTTTTACGACGCTTTTAACAATGTTCCAAGCAATATCACGGCGGGGACAACACTTGTGAAATGGGCCCTCATACATTGTACACCTGTGGGGAATCGAACCGGGCCTTCGACGTGACGAAGGAACGCTTTAACCAGGTGGCCACCCCACCGCCCCATTACGTCATTTACCCGGTATATGGATCAGTATGCAGTCGATTTTCATTTTTCGACTCCCCTGGGGATACAGGCAAATTCTGCCTGTTAGGCCTTAGAAATTAACTACACAGTTCAATCTTTGTCCTACTAGGTACCCATTCACTGCTGGGAGACATATTTCGAAGGCCACTTGGCAAGGGATACCACATGCAACATATGTTACCGAAGCCCACTAACACAAGCTGTCGAACTTGGACCAACGTTACTAAACTTGGCTTTGAATTACTAAGGTGTTGCAACAGTATGTCTCGAACGTGAGTTCGATTAATTTCAGTGTCACGTGGACCGAAGCCAGTCATCAATGCGGAGTATGCATGTAGACGGATACCCAGTTTGTCTGAAACCTTTAATACGGACATCATGCATTGTGGACTGTTTTGGGTTAGAAAGTATAAGAGTCATCAAAACGCAGCTAGGAAGACAAGTATCCTTTCGTAATGAAAAACACTACAAGTTTCAGGTCCAGAACTATATTGTCAGCATCAAAAGACTCACCACCGAATAACCATTTCTTGTCTTGTCAATTCTCAAGGCTGAAATCAGTCAAGCAGAATCACTTGAAAACAATACTCATAATCGAATAATCATTTTTGTTGGTTACTTTTTGCCATCATAAATCGTGGAATGGGTGCTGGGCAGAATATCCTCTGGGTGAGCGGGAGGACGCTTAATCTCAAAAAGATAACATGGTATTTGTTGTTTCCTTGGCTCGCGCTCGACCTTAAGGGCATTAAGCAAGTGGTCAGCTGGGTGTATGCTGTGTTTGTGTTGATATCCATATGGCGGGCTATCACTATTAGCGGGCTACCAGTGTAACACCGGCATTAATTGAAGTCTTGACTAAAGTACGTCCACACATCGCACGCACACGCACGCACACGCACGCACACACACACACACACACACAGACAGACAGACAGTCATACATACACATCCATCCATCCATCCATACATACATACATACATCATACATACATACATACATACATACATACATACACACATCCATCCATCCATCCATCCATCCATACATACATACATACATACATACATACATACATACACCCAAACAGACACATATACACGCCCACCCACTTACAAATAATATGCCTCTGGAAATACATCTCGACCATATGGCGCTCGCACGCACGCACGCACACACATTTATATGAACTCTACTGAACGCGAAGTTAAACCCCACGTACAGACGAACCCCGTTGTCTGGATCCCCATCTTGATACCTGTTCAAGTGAGTGAGTGAGTGAGTTGGGTTTAGCAGTACTGCTGTGAATAGTAATTCAGTTATATCAAGGTCCGTCATCCTGATTTGAGAGGAAATCCAAAGTAATGCAGAGTTAATTTGTTTTACCACTGGGGAAACCTCGAACGCAAGTATTTACAGGAAAATGGCGCGTGAACCTGTAACTCGAACCAGTGTTCACAGGTTTCGGGTGTGCCAAAGGGACGCGACTCTTCACATCGCATTGGGACCTTTATTACACCTTGGATGCTCTGGCGGCATAGGTTATGATAACGATAGCCATACGGTGTCCAGGCCTTTGACGACGTGTTAAACTACTTTGCATCGTTGTACTCCGCTGTTAGCATTACTCAATCACCGCATATGTTGGGGAGGGACATGAAAGCGCACGTACCCATTTCAGAATCGAGCCAGGACTTCTGGCAAGACTAAGGCGTACACCTCCAACCACTCGGCTACCTCGGACGTTTTGAACTAGTCAGAATATGAGTTCTGGTACGTTAACACAGTTCATTTTATTTGTCTATCCTGTAAATAAATATTTAGGAATATAAAATACCCCTGAATGTACTCTTATACCTACAGGGTGACTCTCCGTCACTGGAGTGCGTGGACGGCCTAAAGTACTGCCACGCAACAAACATATACATCGACTTCCGTACAGCTAGGCTGGTAGATCAGGGGAAAGAGGTACAGTTGCATGTTACACACAATTAACTATGGAATCCAAGCAGGGACACTTGTCGCTCTGTCGCCTTTGGATGAATAGAAACATATTCGCGTTGTCTTTGGTTTTGAATTTTGCCTCTTTTGCTTGTTTTGAGAGGGCGACAGTGCGACAACGCGATAATATCCCTTCTAGGATTCCATAATTAACCGTCGTGTTAAACACTACGACTCGCAGCTCATTTCATCCAGGGAGACACTCGGCATCCCCTAACTGTACAACCTTTAAAAAGCTTCCTGGTCTATTTGTGTACGTTACAATACGTTATAGAAATATTGAAAGTTCCCATACGTAACAGTGTAAGATGTTTGTCTGTTTCTGTGTGTACCTACACAGAGCCCCTGTGCTCATCCGTACAACTTGCTACACTGCTTACATGGTTTTGAAGTGGTCTCTTTCTTAAGATGGTCATGTGTGTTTAAAGCATGCAGGCATCATCTTTTCTGTTTAAGTAAACATCAGTACCGTCATTCAACACAAATGTACGTGCCGCTGCATGTGTATATAAGCAGGTACGTTGGTAAGTCATGACTGTGATGTGTAGGAAACGGTTTTTAACTTCAGTCAGCACGAAAAAGGGTATATAAACGTGGGAATAGGCTTATCGTGGGAATCAAGATTTATTGTTTTGATTCGAAAGTGCCTACAGCCCAAGCTGCCCCTTCCATTGTTTTCATAATCGCCGATGCCTACATTCCTAGCTTCCTGCACATCCAGATGCCTACATTCCTAGCTTCCTGTGTATCCTGGGATGCCTACATTCCTAGCTTCCTGTACATCCTGATGCCTACATTCCTAGCCTCCTGTACACCCTGGTGCCTACATTCCTAGCTTCCTGTATATCTTGATGCCTACATTCCCAGCTTCCTGTACATCCTGATGCCTACATTCCAAGATTCCTGTATATCTTGATGCCTACATTCCTAGCTTCCTGTACATCCTGATGCCTACATTCCTAGCTTCCTGTATATCCTGATGCCTACATTACTAGTTTCCTGTACATCCCGATGCCTACATTCCTAGCTTCCTGTATATCCTGATGCCTACATTCCTAGCTTCCTGTACATCCTGATGCCTACATTCCTAGCTTCCTGTACATCCTGGATGCATACGTTCCTAGCTTCCCTGTACATCCTGATGCCTACATCTCTAGCTTCTGTATATCCTGATGCCTACATTCCTCGCTTCCTGTACATCCTGATGCTAACATTCCTACCTTCCTGTACATCCTGATGCCTACATTCCTAGCTTCCTGTGCATTCTGGATGCCTACATTCCTAGCTTTCCTGTATATTTCTGATGTCTACATTCATAACTTCCTGTACGTCCTGATGCCACATTCCTAGCTTCCCTGTATATCCTGATGCCTACATTTCTAGCTTTCTCTATATCATGATGCCTTACATTCCTAACTTCCTGTATATCCTGATGCCTACATTCCTAGCTTCCTGTACATCCCGATGCCTACATTCCTAGCTTCCTGCATATCTTGATGCCTACATTTCTAGCTTCCTGTATACCCAGATGCCTACATTCCTAGCTTCTCCTGTACATCCTGATGCCTACATTCCTAGCTTCCTGTTCATCCTGATGCCTACATTCCTAGCTTCATGTATATCCTGATGCCTACATTCCTAGCTTCATGTATATCCTATGCTTATGACTCCTATATACATGTCTACTGATGCCTACATTTTATGATTCCTACATGTCCTGGATGCCCTAGATTCCTTGATTTTTATACAATTGCACTTTGATGCCTACAAGGAAACGGTTAAGATTACAATATGTCATATCTCAAAGGAGCATCTGTATTTGTCAAGTTTTGACGCCAGTCAACCATTTTACGATTTGTACTTTTGCTTTCTGCGAAAATAGCCTAATGTGATGACAACTGGCTGCATAAACTCAATTTTTAAATGAAATTTCTCAGTATTTGAAATACTTGTGTATTTTAAAAATTATCGATATTTTCTCGTTACCTCGGTTATTTCCTTTATGTTTTAATATTTCTCTCTGTTATTTTGAGGTCTATATTAAAAACAGGTAAAAATCGAATCAACGAGAAAGTATACAACTGGAAACACATGTTACGAGATACTTCGGTTTTTAAAACTATGAACTTTCAGGGACGAAAAAATATACAAAACCAATTTTTAATTTTTTTAGTATATTTTTTCACTTTACTTAGTTACGGATTAGACAAGATATGTGGGTAGAATAAAATGAATTTTTCAGGTTGCATAATAAAAAGCAGACAATGTATAGCATATGGTACTGGGAATATAGATTAAACAACTGAGATGCAAGCTAATGTACAAGAGAATTGAAAGACTAAAAGTATAACCTACAGGACTGCATCTAGGACATTCCATTTTCTGTAAAATGTTTCACCGTATTATCGTTTTTCTTCTCGATAAATTTCTCAATCTCATAGACGTCAAGCACTTTGATAATGTTCTGTAGATGGTGAAGCTAGGTTTGTGTCCTTTTATATTCATGCCACGAACATGTGGCGCTTTGCCAATAGTAACATGTGTGGCTGAATAACTGGTTACCACTGCAACAAAATAGAATATCATGGTTTAACATTTCACACGTTTTACCAAGGACTTGAGTTATAAAATTGCATTTAAATTCTGACCAGAACATTTTGATGGTTGGACAATCAAGGTATACATGGTAAATATCCTCACTTACTGAACCACATAATGTACATAGGTCATTATCTATCAATTTCATTTTTAGAAGTTCTCGTTTAGTGTAAATGACTCTGTACAAAAACATATATTGAACATCTAATAGTTTCTGTGTCTTTAGTGCATTGTCTATATTGTGAAAATATGGTTTTCCAATTTATCAAATCATTTAGTTCCCGTTCCATTTGAGGACACACATTCGGAATGTTATAGTAAGATACAAAATTATCATAGAATATCCTTTGAACCTTTACTAGGTTTAATCAAATCGTTCAAGGAGAGCACACAGATAACGACGGTATATTAAAATTGTTGTTTGTTCGTATAACTCAACGAACAGTACAGTACCCTTAATGCCAAATTTTGCTTTAAGTTCTGCAAATGTTAGAAATGCTTGGTTTTTTGTGTTGTTGTTGTTGTTTTTGTTGTTTTTGGAGGAGGGGTTAGGGAGAGAAGAGATGTGGATAATCGTGGATAAAAAGCTAAACTTTTAATGACGGTTATTTTCCCTATCAACGTTAAATTACGTCTTTACCAATTCAGTAGAATTCTTTTTATATTTTCGAGTCTCTTTCTATCTATTGATTACCCATAGGTTTTCTAAAATGAGCATTTAATTTGATTCCCAATACGTCGAAATTCTCATTATTCCAATCCAGCTTATAGTCCTGGGATGATAGAACTATTTTACTACCTGCCATTGAGCCTAGCCATACTGCTTTTGTTTTATCAATATTTATTTTCAAACCTGACACCTTGTAAAGGAAAGCAAAGTTTTCATAGCTTCATTAAGAGAGGTTTCGGAACCGTCCTAAAAATAATTCAGTGTCGTCTGCATATGACCAATAACATGCTCGATGTCGTGTTTAAAACAATTCCTTGTATTCTGTGGTTGTCTCTGATCATTATTCCTAGTATTTCTGCTACCAATAAGAATAACTATATGGAGATATGGGATCACCCTGTCCACATCCCCTTTCATTATCGAAAAACGTGGACAAGTGACCATTCTGTATCATACACGAGGATGCATTAGATATCAATATGTTAACCCATCTTTGAATGTTACTTCCCAAAATCTTAATGAATTATTTTGACACTGTGTCGAAACTTTTTCAAAGTCAATTAAGATTAGTAAACCTTTTATGTTTTGCCTTTTAGTTTCAAACATAATGTCATAGAGAAGTTTTCCGTAAAGCAAGGATTCCTGTTTGATTTTCGTTTATGAGAAAATTCAAAGTCTTTTTAATCCTGTTTGTTATACAAGTACTTATAACTTTATACAATGCGTTTAGGAGAGGGATAGGTCGCCAAGTCTTTAGATATCTTCTAACCTTACCTGGTTTAGGGATACATGTAATTACTCCTCTAATCATTGTCGTTGTCATAGATTCTGGTTGAAAGTTTCTTTTATATATCGGTGAATCCAAATTTTCAGATTGTTCCTGAAATATTTGAAGAATTCGATAGGGAAACCATCTAAACCTGGACTTTTGTTATTTTTCATTGATTTAAAAGCATGCTTAAGTTCTTCAACACTAATGTCGCGCTCTAGTTTATTTGACTGTTCTTTATTCAAAAGGAGTAGCAATATTTTCGAATACAACTTTAAATGTCTTCATCTATGTCACAATTTATACGGGTTTTACATAAAATCGTTTTTCGTTCCACTATTATTTCTCGTCCATCTGCTATTTCATCTCCATTATCAATAATGAGGGAGTACATAAGTTTGTTTGTATAGTTTCTATTTTCCAAATGACAAAATAATTTGTAGGTTTATCCCCTTCTTCAGACCACTGGATTCTATTTCTAATTTGGATTCCTTTCATTTCTTCTTCTTTTATATTTTCCAATTCATTTTTACATTTAGATAAAATCATCAAGAAGTGTTTCATTAAGGTTTTGGAAGTTACTTCTTATCTCATCTTCTATATGACATATATTCCCCTCTAGTTCTTTTTTTATATTTTGTTGTTCTGCTTTTCTTAAGATATGAAGACTATGAGATGGATTTTTCCTCTAAGTTTCATTAAAAATGTCTCTAAAAATAAAGAGTGTCACTGATAGTCAAACGTAAGTGTTCATCATTAATCTCGTATAAATTTACATCTGAATATGCTTAGGGTCTGCGTATTCCCATTTTGGTTTCATTAAGTAAGTCAGTTACTAGTGTTATATATTCCTCTCGTCTCAATAATGATGTGTTAAACTTCCAATAGCCGCGTCCCTTTTCCTTATTTGTTTGTGTAGTTAAATATGACGTTACTGCAGAATGGTCACTTTTATAACCAGTTATAATGGATATCTTACTATTTATGTTAAAGAGGTCTTCAGTTACCAAGAAGAAATCTAATCTGGCTTGTTTGGCGAGGATTCTTTTTCCACCATGTATACTGTTTTCTTTAGGGTGTAACTCTCTCCATGCGTCTATTAAGTTTAAATTTTCTGTTTGGTCCAAGACAGTCTTACGAGCATGTGGGTTATTGATGTGTTTATAGTTTTCGAGGTCTATGGAGGGGTCTTGGACAAGATTCCAATCTCCGCACACTGCAATTGAATCGTTACCCATATTTACAATCTTATCAAATAAAGATACAAGACAGACAAGACAAGAATTTTATTGTATTCAAGGCCTCCGGCCCATATACAGTTTACAGAGTTGTACATAAGTATTTTTACAAGAAGTTGTAACTAATGTTTCAACAATTCATCTCTTAACTTACTGGAGTGTTATATAAACAATGACAGATTTCTAATATTTTGTTCATTGCAAGAACATAATAGTGATTTAAAATCTACATCGGTTTTTTTTACAGGTAATAATTTTGACAAATAAAGATACATAAAGGAAGGACTATCAGATAAATTTGTAAGATTTTAATCTTATGTCATCAACAGCTATATCTAAAATTATGTAATTTCCATTTTCGTCTTGAGAAACATTGTGTATTTTCATATTCAAAGTTATTATTTAGAAGAATGGCTACACCTCTTGAGTTTGACTTATATGGAGCAATGACACATTCTAAACCCCATTCATTTCTCATTGTGTTCTCATACTCTGCAGAAATATATGTATGTCTTGTAAACATATGATAGAGAAGTTCTTTTTCTATATAAATTCATGACTTCTTTACGTTTACCTTTATCGGCTAGAGCCTCTACAATTACCTGAAACTATGCTAATTTTGTTATTTGTATCCATAGTTAAAGAATCTTAGGAGTAATCGTAACTTGTCTGGTCGTAAATGGTGTTTCTGTATCCAAGTGAAAGTGTTTTCGTTTAATTATAACATAAGGTAATAAAGAAAATAAGAACAAAGAAAATTCCGTGGTTGCCACGAGAGCAATATCTCTGAAGGAGTAGAATAAACACACACACACACACACACACACACACACACACACACACACACACATGGTTAAAACAAAACCAATTTATGGCACTCAAGTGGTACCATTAGGGTCCCTTAGATTTTCACATAAACACCTTTGAAATTTTGAAATCATGCGTCCATATTAGAACATTTTACCCTCAGCCAAATCTCGTAATAATTAGTAAACATACATTATGTCAAATACGCTTCTTTATCACCAGTCAATGTTATATTTATATCCGTGTCTAAAACTTCTTCAGCTATCGCCAGACGTATTAAAGAGTGGTCAGATTAATTGGTCATTGCCGGCTGGACAAGGCTGGCCTCGCCCAGAAGGACAACACTGGATTCCTCCTGTCGTCTTGGTCAGTATGCCAAAACCATGCTTTTTAGCCCACTGACAGCCTCCTCTCCAGGTTAGATAGTATACCGACTATAAAAGTGTGGTTTCCATCCATGCCGAAGAATGCTGAAACTTTGAGTTACGTTTTGGCTGGCCTAACGAGTCTATGCGTAGCCCAATCAAAATCGAGAAACGAAATCGAAATCGTAGACTGCCGTATAGATTGCGATCGACTGCTGGATAACGTCATCGGGGCGTCGACAGATAGTTTCCAGTGCCTAGATTTTCGTAGCTCTGTTAGCGCTAAGATAATCGTAAGTTAGTGTTAATGGCACTTATGACCATCTTAGTGCTATGAGAGCTTCCAAAAATCAAGAGCCCAGATCTATTTGTTTCTGAATTAACTGCTACAATTGTACCGCTGCATTTCGCACTGATGATGCGAGGACGCTTTTTTTCCAATATGTTTAAAAAAAAAATGCACATGACATGAGGAGGATCAATCTGACTGGTTAATAGAAGGGACATCTAAGGGACAGAACTGTTTATAGCAACCAGTGGCGAACGCAAGATAGAGCCACGTAATTTCAGCCGACTTTATCAAAGTGAGTGAATATTTAGCCACAATCAGGGGTAATACACTAATGTAATTTTATTTATTTTGTACATGTTATTATATTATATTTTTATTATATTTGTCGACATAGAACAGGAATGAAATGAATGATTGAATGAATGAATACTCGCCTTTTACGCCGAATCGGCAATTTTCCAGCTATTCTCGGCCGCAGGAAAGGAAAAAAGAACTGGAGTATCACAGAGATTGATTTAGAGATAAATATGTAATCATTGAAATATTATAAATCAAAACGATACGATATAAACATGAGCTATAGATGTCCAGCAGCCAAACTTTGGCCACCCCTATACTGACCATAGGGACTAACGCTACTTCTGCTAATTGCATGGTACCCCAGCTGAATTTGGATAGGCTGGCTGAGCATGTTTTCGCCGCACTCCAGCTATAGGGCGGCGGTCTATAAATAATCGAGTCTGGACCAGGCAATCTGGTGATCAACTACATGAGCATCGATCTGCACCAATTACCCCAGTTGCATCTACACCATCACTCAGTCAACTGTCGAGGTATTAGATGATTATTCAAAACTGTCAAAACTACCAAGAATACTACGATGAAACAAAGGAGAAAATGCTAAAACGGGACTTCGATTAAAGGCGGAAACTGGACTCTGTTGACCCTCTAGACCCCCTATAACAATGTCGTCTTACATGGAATGACATTCACCAGATTCTGTACAAATGGTTGTTCTCTCTACTCAGGTATCATGAAATGGAACATTTCACCTCACTTACTTCTCGCCCACTAAAATCCGGCAAAATGTGATGTCATTATCGACAAACCAACATTCATTATGAAGCCCGGACGCAGGTAGGTGAACGATTGTTTCCATATACACTGCTTCCCTCTTGGATCAGAAAATAGCATGAGGAAATTCGAAGAACTGGTCTACTTTCGAAAAGGCGATGGCAACGCTTAAACATTTGCGTAGCAAACTATGGGTTAAAAACGAACTCAAAGCGACCATAAATTTTAGTTAAATTTTTAATGTTGTACGCAGTTCGTATAAAATATACAGCACAAACGGCAGCGATTAAAAACAACAACCCAAGACAACCAGAACTTGTATTTCGACACCGGTTGTTTGTTACTGGTCTTCTGACTGGTTTCATGTCTAGAAACTTGAGTGAGTTGGTTGGTTGTTGTTTAACGCCACACTCAGCAGTATTCAAAGCTATATCGCGTCGGTCTGTAAATAATCGAGTCTAGACCAGACAATTCAGTGATCAACAACATGAGCATCGATCTACGCAATGGGATGTTTGACATGTGTCAACTAAGTGCCAGCGAGCCTGACCAATTGATCCCGTTAGTCGCTTCGTACAACAAGCATGGGTTGCTAAAGATCAATTCCAACCCCGTTCTTCACGGGTCCACGAGTAATTAAGATGAGTGTAACGCCTTTTATACAGTAGATTCCAGCCACTCGCTGTATATTTTTTCGTCGAAATGTAGATAAGGGAACTACGGTTATAACGAACTAAACTTAGTGGTCCCTTTGAGTTCGTTGGCTAAACCGTAGTTTTATTGTATATGCGAACCAAACCCGTGAATTCCATGAGGCAGACTTATTCAGTCTCGTTAATAAGCGGCAGAATGTATAGTGTTGGTTCTACGACAGTGACATCGTAATCCCGCTTCAGGTGGGAACATGTTCCACCACTTCTGCGACTTCGTTAACCTCTACATCAGTCAGCATCTCAACAACTCCTTCTCCACTGACGTCAACATCCTTGTGTGGGACACGGTGAGTACATCTTTGTTGGTTTGACGCCGCACTCAGCAATGGTATTCCAGCTCTTAACATATCCTAACATTCTTAATTGTCGCACTTTAGATCTTCGTAGGGGTAACAATAATTATAGCATTGGTATATACTAAACTCATTTGTTGACATCTAAAATCGATTGTATTTCAATAAATATTTTATGACATCTTGAAATCCAATTTCATCTAATGGCAATCTAATGGCACTTCTAATGGCAATCTAATGGCACATCTAACGTCACATCTAATGGCGCATCTAATGGCATCTAATGGCACATCTAATGTCACGTCTAATGGCACATCTAATGGCAATCTAACGCATCTAATGGCACATCTAATGGCACATCTAATGGCAATCTAATGGCACATCTATTGGCACATCTAATGGCACTTCTAATGGCACATCTAATGTCACGTCTAATGGCACATCTAATGACAATCTAACGTCACATCTAACGTCACATCTAATGGCACATCTAATGTCACGTCTTATGGCACATCTAATGACAATCTAACGTCACATCTAATGGCATCTAATGGCAATCTAATGGCACATCTAACGTCACATCTAATGGCATCTAATGGCAATCTAATGGCACATCTGATGTCACATCTCTACTGGCAGCCCATGTCATTGACGATGAGTGACAATGACATTGAATATCACCCAGTCGGGGTGGGTGGCCAAGTCGTCTTAGAATAGACTGAGTGGCGTCCTTGGGAACATCAGAAACCAATGACTCTGAGTTCGAATCCAGGTTCCTCCGATTCTGCTTCTAGATTTGTCAGGGCAATGCCCTAACTCGTTGGTTTCACCAGAGTGGTAATCGTCTGAGACTTGCGTACACTTCGGGCCTTCCTCCCACATTCCCAATTGCGCAAATCGATGCTCATGCTGTTGACCACTGGATTGTCTGGTTCAGACTCGATTATTTACAGACCGCCTTCATATAGCTGGAATATTGTTGAATGCAGCGTAAATCTAAACTCACTGACTTACTCTTCCACATTCAACAATGTCCACAGAAAAACTGTTAAAGGCAACATTGAACCCAACTTACTCTATCAATCAATAAGAATCGCCTCAACATACGCTTGATAATTTCTAGTTGAACTTCTAGAAAGCATTGAACCTGTCTTCCAGTCTCGCAAGTACATGGAACTCTTCGGGGAGACATGGGTCGCCTTTTACTGATCACCCGCGCCTTATGCTGGTTGACCTTGAAGGGAAAAGAGTAAGTGCCTTTATATCTGTGGACAAATTGTTTTCATATACTTCTTTTGAGAATCTTATATTTCCACGAAACAGTACATTTCATTGGACAATTCAATCACGTGATTGACAGTGATCGCGAATTTTAACTCGTCACGTGATCAGTATTGATATGTCACGTGATTAATAGACTCTCGTCTGCTGGAAAACAAGATGGCGTCTGGCCGTAACATATCTGTTGGCAGTTTACTGTGTCACTAAAGTGGGGGCACTTTAAAGGCTTTGGTATTTTTAGAAGGGTATCGTCGGACTGGGTTGGTAAATTATAAAGAACGTTTCCTTTGTCACAACGAAGATCGAAGTAAATACCTTTCTTAGTGAGTTTGCCCGTTAGTTATTCCTCATCTCTTCGAATGGTCGGGTTCGATTCCCTATATGGGTACAGCTTCTGCTGCCAGTTATTGACATCAAGCTCCTTCATCATATTTCCAATTATTTTAACTGATTTAATTGATGTTTGCATTTTAGCAACAGAAATCTGATCAGATTGCTATGTTAAAGAGGGATATTCTTCTTCTTTCTGTAATGCCTCTAAAACAAATGCTTGGTGGTTTTTGCCTTCCATTTTGGGTTAGAGAGGGAAAAGGTAACTCTTGCCGATAGACCTGGGTTCGATTCCCCCCAACATGGGTACAATGTGTGAAGCCCATTTCTGGTGTCTCCCACCGTGATATTGCTGGAATATTGCGAAACACGGTGTAAAACCATGCTCACTCACTTCTTAGTTGAACGTATTAAGCATATCAGTCACCAGATGTTTTGTTTTCAGGTTTGTTTCAAGGAAGCCATCTTTTCTTTCCCTGGCCCGGATGACACAGGGGCTGTTCTACGCCCTTCGACCCGTGAGTAAATCGTACGTTAGTCAAAAAGAACCCCGAGCCACTAAGGATTACGGATTTTCCGTGGCGCGGAACTGGAAAATCAATTCATACGTCGAAGAATATCTGTAATCATTCGTAGGTCCTTATTTTTCTTCAATAGACATGGCGATGGGGTAGCCCAAATTGTTTCTGTATGAGTTTCTCTTCAAATCAACTCTGGGGCGATAGGGGTAGCCTAGTGGTTAAATCGTTCGCTCACCACGCCGAAGACCTGGGTTCGATTCCCCACATGGGTACAGTGAGTGAGTGAGTATTGTTTTACTCCGCTTTTAGCAATATTCCAGCAATATCACGGCGGGGAAACCAGAACTGGGCTTCACATATTGTACCCATGTGGGGAATCGAACCCGGGTCTTCGGTGTGACGAGCGGGCGCCTTAACCACTAAGGCTACCCACAAGCCTCCCACATGGGTACAATATATGCAGCCCATTTCTGGTGTCACCCGCCGTGATGTTGCTGGAATATTGCTAAAAGCGGCGTAAAACCAAAAACCATTCACTCACTCTTAGCGCATGGGCTCGCTCGGCAGTTGCCGGATCCCAACTTAGAGCGCCACACTGTTGATTCATTCCTGAACAGCATGTCTTTTATTGTTTGAACACTGCTTTGTTCGAAGTAACAAAAAATATATGTTTAATTCTATAGCCCATTTAATTTTTATTCCTGTGAGTGGTTGTGGTAGCGGTCCAATGCACTGCTTGGCCCGGAGGGTGTAATGCTGTAAAGACGGCTGTGTCCCTGCTTTTAACCTGTGACTAACGCTTTTATGTTTGACCCCCCGCATAACATGTATGTGACCTCGATGAGATGCCGGGTTCCCAGCAACCTCTGCTTGTCGAAAGAGGCGACAGTTAGAGCGAGTTCTCGGTGACTTGGTTCATTGTGGTGACGGTTGGGTGTAGCCCAGTGGTTAAAGCGTTCGCTCGTCACACAGAAGACCCGGGTTCGATTCCCCACATGGGTATAGCGTGGGAAGACAATTGTGTATCCACGCTGTGATATTACTGGAATATTGCTAAAAGCGGAAGAAAACGGTTTGTCTGGTCCAAACTCCAAATTATATAGAGACCGCCCTTATGTATGTGGCATACTGCAGGGACAAGCAACTGTATATAAGTAGTACTTTCGAGCCAAGATGAATGCTTATTAAAATCACTCCGTTTAAATCCAAAGATGGAGATTATATACAGTAAGTTGATGAATTATGTTTTTTATATGAATTTGAACTTTAAATCCTTAGGACGTTTCTATTTTATGATGGAATTGTTATTTTTAACCCCTCAACCACCGCCGCCACAAAGCTGGAATATTACTATCTGTAACTGTATACAAGCAAATTATCACATCAACATATACAGAAATGTATGTGATTTTCTGCGAACCCGGGTCTTTAGAGTGACGAACGAACGAACGCTTTAACCACTAGGCTAGCCTCACTTCTTGTATTTGTAATATAGAACACAAACACAGTCCGTTACTACACTGTTTTCCAGGTGAATAACTGCTACAACAGCGGGTTGATGAGGGCGTTCTCCCAGCACATCCTCCACAGACTGGGGGTACGTCAACACGGACCTCTGGTACGTCAAGCTGTTTCACAGACGCACATACTGACATTCACATTCACCTCTATACTAGTGTTGGGAATTGGATGAAATCTCACAATTGATGATTGGTTCACTACCAACGACCGATCATCGAAAAAAATTGATTAGCGTCATTTTTCAGATTTTCCTATTCAAGTTGACCTTGCAGATAAGCATAACATGGTTGCCTGTTGTTGTTTTGGGTTTGTTTGGTTTTTTTTGTCTAGGTTTTTTTTTTTTTTTTTTTCCTTTTGTTTTGTTTTTAGTTAGAAACTTGCATAATGCGTTTGCAAATGTCACATCCAATGCAAAATGATGCAACTTTAAAGTGATGACTAATATATCATTAACATAAACTTTAAGAGTCTTTAAGAAATATTCAGTTATGACTTCAGTAAGTGAAGTGAGTTTACTAAGAATTAAACACGTTTCCGGGCCCTGACAACTTCTATGATATGTTCCAGTGTCAAATGTTTCAAACACTAAAAAAGTAGTTCCAAAATCGTTTGTGTTCGATTATGAGAAAATGTGATCGATTGCTTGGTCGTTTGGTCACTGCGACCAATCTTCGATTATTTCAATTAATCGGACCACCGCTACTCTATACACGTGTGCGCATACACGTCCGAAAAAAACAGACGCCAATTTGAATTGTCTACGCTGGAGATACAGACTAAAATGGGTTAATAAGGCGGTTCGTTTTGGCTTCTCTGGACCACACACCTATCTCAAGAATGACTTAGATTGCGATTTTGTGCTCCAATGTGGAAACGTGATCATGCTGTCCACCACTGGTTTGTCTGATACGTTTGTCAACATGATCTCAGTCCCTATATATTTGAGTGCGTGAATGTTGTTTTACGCCGCACCAGCAGCTCCACGTTAGCGTAGCTGCTTGTAATTATCCGAACTAATGTTGTTCTGAGTGCTAGCGGGGCGGTGGGGTAGCCTAGTGGTTAAAGCGTTGACTCGTCACGCCGAAGACCCGGGTTCGAATCCCCACATGGGTACAATGAGTGAAGCCCATTTCTGGTGTTCCCCGCCGTGATGTTGCTGGAATATTGCTAAAAGCGGCGTAAAACCAAACTCAGTCAGTCAGTCAGTCTGAGTGCTAACCCACTGATAGACTGTGGCAATTTATCCCGGATGTCCCACTCACACATAGGACACTGTTTCCGAACAGACCTGTGTCCTATTTCTTGTATCCCAAACACCAGACAAGGGTAACAAATACCGTTTTTGCTATGACGATCGAACGTGCCAATGTGGCTCCCTGGGCAGACACTCTGCTACAGGCGTAGGCGGTCCCAGCTGTGGGTGGCAAACACTGTTTGATATACATGCAGATTGTTTGTTGTTTAACGCTCACTCAGCAATATTTCAGCTCTATGCCAGCTGTAAGCAATCAAGTCTGGACCAGACAAGCCAGTGATCAACATCATGAGCGTCAATCTACGCAATTGGGATACGATAAAATGTGTCAACCAAGTCAGCGGCCTGACCACTCGATCCCGTTAGTCGCCTCTTACGACAAGCACGGGTTGCTGAAGACCAGTTATAACCCGGATCTTCACGGGTCTGTGGTTGACAAACACACTGATATATAGTGTTAGAGCAAACATGCGAGACGCGGCGGCACCGGAATGAGCTGACTCAGCAGTTCAGCACATCACCCCATACAGCAGCAGTCTCACAACGTGATCAACTTCAGATGTGTCCCATTACAAAATGTGTACACGCACAGTCTGAGGATACAGCGTCGAAACTCGTGACTACACCGATACAAGCATGCAACAGTTGTGAAAACATGTGACGTGAAGAACATGCGCCAAGATCTCTGACCTTCAGGGTTCGAGGCTGTTGCGCCAACACTTCGTACATTTACGTAAATGAAATGATTCCGGAATTTCTATGTATTTGCTCTGTGTACATCTCTAAATTATATCCCTACATAATTAAACTGTTTGAATCCATATATTATTATTCGTATCGAATCAAAATGAGGAGACTTTTGCCTATAGTATTTAATACCTTTGCTCCAATTTCAAAATCATCAACGGTTCGAATACTTAAATATAAGCGTTATTAATTCATGTGTGCCGATGATCATTCATTGAATGTGAAAGGCACATCACACTTCTCTAAAAACATAAAGTGCAACTCTCACAATAATACTAACTATGAGCCCTCAGGAAAGCTACCATATAATTTATCTCAACAGGCGAGGAAAGTACGTGTGACCTTCATGTCTCGAAACACCAGGTACCGGAAGATACGAAATATTGACAAGGTAGGTTGCTGCTGTTGCTGTTGATATTGTTGTTGATGGTGATGATAATGATGATGTCATGGTGGTAGGATGATGATGATTATGATAATGTTACCGATACTATAAGTGTGACACTAATGATGTAGTAAGGTTCCCCAAGGGCCTCCCGACAAAATAGAACTGCTGGTCAGTGTAACTAAGTAGCGCGTTGTTCGTGATATCAGTCACTGGTTTGCGTGGTTCCGATTGAATTATTTATAGCTGGAATAGTGTTCATCACGATGTTACATTAATGATTAACGAGTAATACAGCTCCTAGAATCCTAAATACTTTGTCACAATATATATATATGTATACATATAAAATATAATATAAGGTAACAACTCAAATTTTATTTTAATTCGTTCAAGTTGGAATCCGCCCTGAGGAGTCACTCCGACCTCGACGTGAAAGTAGTTGACTACAACAGGTGAGATTTTACTTTAGGCTACAGAATATGATTTTAAAACAATGGCTACATATTCTACAGAAGAGTGTGTTTACGTATCCCATCTGACTCGTGAAGATCCAGGTTACAATTGATCTTCAGTAACCCATGCTTGTCGTAAGAGGCGACTAACGGGATCGGGTGGCCAGACTCCCTGACTTGGTTGACACATGTCATAGTATCCCAATTGTGTAGATAGATGCTCATGCATCACTGGATTATCTGGTCCAGACTCGATTATTTACTGACCGCCGCCATATAGCTGGAATATTGCTGAATGGCGTAAAACTAAACTCACTCACTCACTACAAAGGTTGCGTTTGTACATTACAACGGTTATCTATCATGAAAGTTACATGGATCAATAAATATGTTGAACATTTGAATGTTAACATGAATAAATAAAATCAACATTCCCAATATTTCCTATGCTTCACTATGTTTGAAGAACGTACGAAAACCTAACCTAAACATTAAACAAAAAACCCTGTGGACAGTTAGTGAAACACTCGACAACTCTGGTAACAATAGGTATGTATTTCATGTGTTCCTTCTAAACATGCCACTTCAGAGATATGGTCTATTATTGAAATGATATGATTTCTTACACACCCGTGTATTAGAAAGTTCCATGTGAGACTGAAACCATGTGTGAAAAATCCCTGGTATCACACGGATACTTTCCAGTATTGTAAGAGATCGATTTCTAATCCCGTGATTGGCTACTCCATGGTGATGACCTAGGGTCAGGTTATGACAGACTACTTTCCAGTCTTGCAAAAAATACCTGACACGATAACGTCAGTGCCTGTCCATTGTGAGATCGATTTGCCTCGTTGTTTCTTTGATGCATTGATGCTCGGAAGATGACATTTTTCACTGATACACATGATGAAGACCCACTTCCAGCTCCGGATACTATGTGATTCAATGTGATCAAATTCACTCATGACAATCTGAACCAAAACACACTCGTTGAAACAATGTACAACATGGTACGTTTTGCAAGGCTTCATGAGTGCAAATGGCGGCACACGTCCTTTCTATTCAATCGAACATGTTCAGGAACGGTTGATCTACACATAAGTCATTGCTCAAGATATTCCTCCGACGCATGATAATGCAAAGTTTATGTCTTGATAACATACAGGATGTAATCAACTCACATTTCATACTGAAAACTGCGTAAATTCCATTACATTCCAAGTGGCAGTTTCTGGCTGGGGAAAACGAGAAGGATGTGGCGAAGAAGAGTAGTCCCCATTGATAGTGAACGTAACCTCAGCAATGTCGCATTCAAGCACACTGGGTGCACCTAATTGCACACAATCAATAGTTTTGGCTCCGGTCGATGGGAGAACATTGAACGTAAAGTGGTACACAAGTACAGATCCCCAATGTGCAGAGATATCCAAAACAATCTTCCGATGACGACAACCACCAAGCGATAACGATGATGTCACACGCTCAAATATTTTTTGCTTGCAAGAATTAAATCATCCACATTGCACGATAACATCATCGTTTTAGAGGGTTTAATTAATTTTCTGTGATGTTATCTAGTTTTCGTTATCACTATTGCTTGATGATGCGAAGAGGTGGCAGAAACTTTTTTGTGGAGGGTCACCATGGGGATGAGTAGTGATTAGGAAGCCAAGTGACGTCACTCATTCATAAACGCTGTGTTGTGTATTATTGCGCAGCTACGATGAGAAAATATGAAATGTCAATCTATTCGACCTTAAAATGGTGCGATTTTATGGTGTGTAAGAAACAGATTATTGTAATTGTGTTATCTGTCAGATACCATTATCTTACAACTCGTTGTAAGATAAATGGTATCTGACAGACACTCGTTTAGTAATCTCTATTTATTACCCACGTGGTCAACGTATGGGTAGTTGCATACTAATCTCGTACGTCACACGAGTGTCGTATCGCGTTGACCTGTGTCGTAACGACTTGACCTGAGATTCTAACGATTTGATTGGATAACCGATGACCTCTCAATTAGGTCACATTCTGACGTAACTATTTTTCATTCATAACAAACACGTGAATTCATTCATTCTACAACTTAAATGCATTGTGGGAATGTAAACATTGCGAACGTTGCCGTGTCGCTGTTTAATTGTGAGTCGAACTGAGACATTATATCCGTCGAAAAACATAAACGCAATGTTTCCACCAGTGATGTTAGCCGAATGAAGCAACTGCAAACCAAGAAACGAGGTGCTACGGAGTAGTTTACTGTAGGAGGCTGTACGAGGCGATGACAACTGACATGCATCGTGACGTCGGTTACCATGGCAGTGACGTCATTAGTGTGACGTCATGCAAATATTGTACTACAGTACAAAACTCTTCCGCAACCTCTTTATGAAACCGGTTTCGGTTTGAAACCAAAACATAACAAAAATACGCTATTTTGTCAATTTAATGCATGTAAGACGTGGGTAATAAATAAAATACCACACTCGGTCTCATTACATACGAATTATACGAAACTCGTGACCTTCCTATGTTATCTGACCTCGCTTTCGCTCGGTCAGATACCATGGGAAGGACACTCGCTTTCGTATAATTCGTATGTAATGAGACCTCGTGTAGTATTCTCTATTTATCATCCAAAACTGTGTTCCAACAGGAGATATCGTTTTGACAGTATATTTTGTACAATGCCCTGACAATGCTATGACGTCATGAACTTGATGACGTCACTATGCTATGTCATCGCTGCACTGCAAGCCTAATGGCAGTACTGTGTTCAGAGATGTACATTAATTTTTCATTGTAAACTAAAGAAGAGTGATTTGCGATGATAAATAGAATCTCACCCTCGGTGATTAAAGTGAAAATATATTTGATATCAAAAGACACTCGGGTGAGATTCTCTATTTGTATCCCCGCCCATATTGTATTGCACGCCAACTCGATTATTTACTGACCACCGCCATAGAGCTTGAATATTGCTGGATGTGGCGTTAAACAACAATCCAACAACCAACAACAGACTCATGCAACATGCAAGAATTCATGTACACTAAAATCTATATATTTACAACATATCTTTCTTCTTCAGAAATATACCGTTTCTGGAGCAATTAGAGGTAAGGGACACTTCGTGCTGAGTTGGTAGCTTTACTCCTGCCCTTGAGGACCGCCTCCGTGGTGTAGTGGTTAGAGCGTCCGCCCTGAGACCGGAAGGTCGCGGGTTCGATCCCCGACCGCGTCATACCAAAAGACGTTAAAATATGGAACTTGCTGGTCCCTGCCTGGCGCTCGGCATTAATGGGTACAACAAGGACTGGTCGGCTCCGGAGTCAGTATAATGTGTCTGAGTGGGGTATTCATGCTTCACTGCGGCATGATATCTCAGTGGGCTAGCACTATACACCAGCTTTAGTCTGGGCTAGTACAAGCAGCCGCACATACACATACACACGCACGCACGTCGTCATATGAGCGAAATATTCTCAAGCACGACGTTAAACCCAATTTCACCTCACATGTCCTTGAGTTTGAAATACACTGAGAGCCTTTTTTAAGAAGCCAAACTGTACATTACTCTGTGTTCACAGCCGTAATGTTGCACAGATATTGCTTAAAGCGGCGTAAAATCATCGCATTTCGTCACGAATAGCGCCATTCGGATGTATAATTGATTGTTGGTCATCATAAGAACACCGAAACGACTGAAAATTAGTGATCGAGTGAGTTTAGTTTTCGCCACTTTTAGCAGTATACCAGCAATATCACGGCGGGGACACCAGAAATGGGCTTCACACATTGTACCCATGTGGGAATCGAACCCGGTTCTTCTGCGTGACGAGCGAATGCTTTAACCACCAGGTTACCCCGCCGCCCGACTGGAAATTAGATTGGTAACATCGCCTTTATCTTTGATTTACCAGATACAGTAGAAATGGCATGCTACACCATCGTACTAGTTCATTAAAGTGAGACCACCTCCGTGGTGTAGTGGAGTAGAGCGTCCGCCCGGAGAGCGGAAGGTCGCGGGTTCGATCCCCGATCGCGTCATACGTTAAAATATGGTACTTGATGGTCCCTGCCTGGCGCTCGGCATTAATGGGTACAACAAGGACTGGTCGGCTCGGAGTCAGCATGATGTGTCTGAGTGGGGTATTTATGCTTCACTGCGGCATGGTATCTCAGTTGGCTAGCACTATAAAACCAGCTTAAGTCTGGGCTAGTACAAGCTGCCGCACATAGACATGCACACGCATGCATGTCGTCATATGAGTGAAATATTCTCCAGCGCGACGACCCAGGTTTCACCTCACCTCATTAAAGCAAGTTCAGCTGTGTGCCATTGGGAAGAAAACAATTGAACGTTTACCGATTCATAATTCACATACTGAACCGGATATAAATAGTGAGTAACAGCAACACTGGTGAAGCAGGACAACACAGTCCCGCCCCTCAAGGAAGCAGGACAACACTGAAGTCCCGCCCTCAAGGAGAACACTAACTTGTAACGGTCCCTCATTCAGCAAGTCAGACCCGTGAAGATGGTTGGTTAGTCATCATATGGTCTTCATGCAACCAATGCTTGTTGAAAGACGACAAACGGGATCGGGTGGTCAGACTCGCTGATATTGCTGAGTTAAACAACAGCCGAACCAACAGAACAAAACAAAATGATCAGCACTTTTAACAAACACTTTTAACCTCATGTGATGATGTACGAAGAACAATGTTACATCACTAACCACCCTGAAGAAGAGCGTTGTACCAGAATAGTTCACCTTAAAATTCATTGAAAAGTTTTTGTAGATTTAATTTTCAATTCTTCTTCAAATACACAATGCCATTTAGAAAGTGGTCAAATGTAACGTATGTTATATTTGGGATTACACTTTCTTAAAGTGCAGAGTCTAATTTTACTTTTCCAGAGATCTGTACTTTACTAAGAAAGTGTAATCCCAAATATAACATATGTTACATTTGACCACTTTCTAAAATGGCATTGTGTATTTCATAGCTTTCGGTCGTGGAGCCGTGCCAAATAACACTTATCAGAGGGGTACACAAAGTCCGCAGTCTAGACTACCAGTTGTCCGACTTCCATTTTGTGGAAGACGCGGTGGCTGAGCGGTCTAGGCGTCTGACTTTGTGTGCTGGCGATTAGGTGCCTGACTCTGAGGGTTGTGGGTTCGAATCCCGGATGGGACTCAACCCAAAAGGTACTAGAATATGTACTTTACTAAGAAAGTGTAATCCCAAATATAACATACGTTAAATTCTTATTCAGATATCCCACAACACTGACATCCCTCATCGGCATCCACGGCGCGGGGCTGACACACATGCTGTTTCTACCGGACTGGGCGGTGGTGTTTGAAATGTAAGTGGTTCAGATTTACAGAAGGATTATAACTGATATGTAATAAATCGCCATAACTCTCCTCTTTAAGTGACCTGTGAAGATCCGGGTTAGAATTGGTCGTCAGCAAGCCATGCTTGTCATAAGAAGCGATTAACGGGATCGGATGTCGGGTTCCTGACATGATTGACACATGTCATTGTATCCTAGTTGTGTAGATCGATGCTCATGCTGTTGATCACTGGATCACTCGATTGTCAAATAAAGTGCAATAGCGACATAGCTACGGGCATATATACTTTGAAGAGAAAAAGATGGCGCGTTAATATAGGAAGGTCAATTCAAACCATTCCAGTGGTGGAAGCGGGGCGGCATGGTAGCCTTGTGGTTAAAGCGTTCACTCGTCACGCCGAAGATCCGGGTTCGATTTCACATGGGTACAATGTGTTATGTGTCCCACGCCATGATATTGCTGGAATATTGCTTAATACTAAACTCACTCACTCGGTGGTGGAGCGTACCACAGATAGGAACCAGTTCTGATGAAAGGTGTGTATGCATTGGGCGTGATGTAATCTCTAGATGAAGAAATAGGGCTGTTTCTATCATTAGTAGACACATCCGTTAAGGAGGTCTCGAAGTCATTGAACATCACAAGATTCTTCTGTGATCTATGGGCTCACATTTCCGGTACATCATATCAAGCCCTGGATTCATTGCGTATAATTTTATTTCTATAAATTCAAGCCTCAATTGTTGATCGATGGACTCTGTAACCTACCTTCTTTATTTTCCAATTGCGAGGATCCTTCCTGCTACCTTCAATCTTGCCCGCCTCCGAGGGATTAAATATATGACCTGGGAAAACGTTGACAACAAAAGACAATCAAAGTGGTGAGTTGACGGTTAGCTCCGATGGGGTCTCTAGGTTTAACAGTGGTGCACGTTGTTTCACATGGGGTAGCCTAGTGGTTAAAGCGCTCTCGTCACGCCGAAGACCCGGTCCCTACAATGAGTGAAGCTTGTGTCCCCCGCCGTGATGTTGCTCGAATATTGCTAATAGCGGCGTAAAACCAAACTCAGTCAGTCAGTCGTTTCACTTTATTGGTGAACCATTTACCTGCACTGATTTATGGTGTCCGGAAACATCATGTTTAGTGCGGTGTTAAACAACAAACCAACCAACCTACTTTCAATAGCAATTCTAAAAAAACAGGAAAGAATATGGCTGAAATACTGATGACACATGACATTATTTGAACCCGCTATTGTTGGTTCTGGGCACACGGGCGAATTGCGGTCCCTTAGCCCTTCGACGGGGTATCCGCTTGTTAGCTCATGCAGAATCAAGAGGTCGCTGGTCACATCGAAGACCCGGGTTCGATTCCCCACATGGGTACAATGTGTGAAGCCTGTTGCTGGTGACCCCGCTGTGGTATTGCTGGAATATTGCTAAAAGCCTCGTAAAACTAAACTCACTCACTCTCACAGCAGCCTATTCTATTCTAAAAACACAAGAAAGGAAAAACAGTTTGTGGCAAAAACACACACCGAATAATAGAATTATTGTCAAAATGTGTAGTTTTGTTTGGAAAGAGGTAATTTCCAGGTTCCTGTTTGATCGTTTTGCTTTCAGTTATACTGGAGGGCTAAGAAACAAGCATCGAAGGCTGCTATACATTGCTATGGAGCATATTTATTCAACCATAAGTAATGTTACCATGCAATACTCCTATGTCACCTGGGGCGGTGGGGTAGTCTAGTGGTTAAAGCGTTGGCTCGTCACGCCGAAGACCCGGGTTCGAATCCCCACATGGGTACACTGAGTGAAGCCCATTTCTGGTTTCCCCCGCCGTGATATTGCTGGAATATTGCTAAAAGCGGCGTAAAACCAAATCAGTCAGTCAGTCAGTCCTATGTCACCTTATTTGTCATCATCAGTATATACTCACCGATGTTTCTGTTCTGTCACAGGACGACGCCTACAAAGGAGGTGCCAAGGCCAAGTTTGTCGACTACGAGTTTGACTCGCATGAAACTCTTCGACTTGTTCGAAGGGCAGCAGATCACGTGACTTTCCATCATGCATTCATCAAAGCAGGGGAACAGAACTCTCAACATATTCATAAAGTGGAATTATGATTGTAGACACATTATTACATTAACAGAATATATTTGCTTTTGTAAAATAATATTCAACGAATTCAGTAGTCGGTAATCGTGTTTTTTTATTTCAAACCTAACGTGAAACTGTTCTTGGAACGACATTCAAAGGCGCATTGGGTCAGGAATCCATGTTGGACGTATTTTCGTTCACGTGACTATTAAATGGCACAACAAAACCTTTGACCGTTTTGAGACATACACAACCGCCCAAACTGTTTCTGTGTGTCTCTCTTCAAATCAACTCTCTCTCGGTGGGTTAGCCTAGCCGTTAAAGCGTTCGCTTGTCGCACTAAAGACCCAGGTTCGATTCGCCACATGGGTATAATGTGTGAAGCCCCTTTCTGGTGTCTCCCGCCGTGATATTGCTGGTATATTGCTGGTATATTGCTGGTATATTGCTAAAAGCCGCGTAAAACTAAACTCACTCACTCAAATCACCTCTGAGGCCTAATGTTTATCAAGCACAACATAATATGTAATAAAACATCACTGGTACGCCAGGTTACATGAACATATGCTGTGCATCTGGCGTTACACACAGTTTGTAGTGAATTCATGGAAGCTGAAACCCATCTCGAACCCAGCGAAATCGTGTTATAACTTCGAGATATCCGGATATTCGAGAAGACGAGGCATGGACATCCAGAGAGCTCTTGTGACAGATCAACTGCAATGCAAATCGCATGAACAGACAATTTAGTACATAACACGTGTATGCGATGACAAACTGCAATATGTTTCACCAGCATCTAATCATGTGTTGAGTGTATACTACATGGAGGACTTTCCAAGTGAAAACAACTGAGTGAGGCCATGTGTTCTTGACAGTTTTTGCTTTTTAAATCACCCATTCAATTAATATTATTTTCAATAAAACAATTTACGAAACATGATAATTTATTGTTATTTCGACATATATGACATTAAACAGTGTGTGTTTGCTCTTAAACTGGCACGTGCACTTTCAGCGCCCCGCTGCTACGCAAGACATTATATTTGGATAGCGAAAGCTATCTGGCTAGCGAAGTGGGCAACTAGTATGAACGAATGAGTTGTGTTTTTCTCCATCTTAAAAGTATTTTAGTTATGACCTCTCGATGTTGGAGGGAAGCCCGGGGTGATGCAGGTCTTACCACGAAAAGAGGTGGATAGCCCAGCGGCTAAAGTGTTCGGCACGGCTAAGACTGGTTCGAGTCCCCAGCTGGGTTAAATATGTTAAGCCCATTCCTGGTGCCCTCTCGCCAAAGTGAGTGTGAGTGAGTGAGTGAGTTTAGTTTTACGCCGGCTTTAGCAATATCACGGCAGGGGACACCAGAAATGGGCTTCACAAATTGAACCCATGTGTAGAATTTCCCCTCTCCGATGACTCTGGTTCGCTTCTCCCATAGGGTTAGATATGTTAAGCCCATTGCTGATGTGCCCTCGCCTAAGACTCTGGTCTCGATTACATAATTGGGTTAAATATACTCATGAAAACGAATAAGGGAACACATGAAAGTACAAGTGTTCCTTTATTTATTTCCAGAATTTCACCCACAGTGCAATACATACCTTGTGAAGAAACCTGGAAAAGAATAAAGGAACACTTGTACTTTAATGTGTTCCATCATTCGTTTCCATGAGTATATTTCAACTTGGGAGTCGACATGTAAATTTGGTCACAAGTGCTCCATACAAGTTTCAGAGGGCTGCTGCTGAACAACATCAGAGAAGTATTTACAAACCACTGGCACATTAGGGATCTCTAAGCATACGTCAAAGTAAAACACTTGTCAAACAATGATTTATTATTATTTATTATATAATATTTGTATAGTGCTAATATCCAGCTCAGTTCAGTTGCTCAAATGCGCTTTGTCTTTCCCTCGATCATTGGATATCAATCTCAGCGGCATACCGTATTTTTAAATCTCAACTCCCTGGGGACCATACAACTCTTGCAGCCATTTATTCGTTTCCATGAGTACAATGTATATATAAAACCCATTTCTGGTGTCCCCTCACCTAAGACTTTGGTTCGATTACCAAGTTGGGTTAAATATGTTAAGCCCATTTCCGGTTGTCCCCTCACCGTGAGATTGCTGGACTATTACTGATAAGTGGGTGCGCGGTGGGCGAGCTGTCTAAGGCGCCAGGCTAGTAATTCAGCGAGCTTGGAGGTGCCGGGATCGAGCCCACCTGTGACCGGGTATAAAAAACCTTGGAATCAACTTTTGGTGCAGACTCTTTCATTGTTGTCACAAAACCTAGTGTACAGAACAACCCTGTGCACTTTAAAGAACCCACGAATCCGTTGGTAGATGACCAGATGATGGCCACATGAATACGTGCAAACACCTAGTTGCGGGTACAGCAACGTGCAGTGAACTTGGACAAAGTACTGTGACTATGTGCCCCAGTCCACCCAGCTGTGAATGGGTACCTCGTAAGGATGGAAAAGCCACATTAACTCGGTGCGCCTAGTAGGCAGCAAGAGTTGTATGATCCCCAGGGAGTTGAGATTGAAAAATACGATATGCCGTTGTGATGGATATCCAATGATCGAGGAAAAACAAAGCGCCTTTGAGCAGTTGTACTGGATATCGGCGCTATACAAATGTTTGTATGTATGTATAGGTGTACAACTATACTCACTCACTCTTACGAGCACAGATTTGGTGGTAATAAATCCAGAATCATTAGGCTACCTGGCCTTGCACTCGAAATTATGAGACGAAACAGGACTGGTCGTATAGCACCATATAATCACCCCCACGGAGTTAAGTCATAACTAAATCAATAAAGTATAACTAAGGAACTTTAACGCTGACGTCACTTGGAAGTTCTTATTCAAGATCCCATTGATCCCTCCTCAAGATC